CGGCTTGACGTCATCGTCCGGTTTGACGTCGGCGTCCGACTTGACTTCAGCGTCCGGCTTGACGTCGACGGTCCAGAGGCCGGGGTTGCGCGCGAGGTGCCGCCGGAAGGCATGTCGCCAGGGGTACTTGCCGCCCTCGTGGTAGTCCCGCGTCATCTCCTTCGGAGTGCGATGAGCCTTTGTTTCCAGTTCCACCTGGAATGCAAAGAATAAGTTACATCTCAGAAAAATTTGAAAAATTCCGGGCCTTAAAGTGTAGGGTAAATATTTGCAAAACTAACATATACCAACTTCAAGCCTCACCACCATAACACCAAGCTAACTTCAATCAATAGTTAATAGTAACAAAGTACATCAAAAACCTAAGCATATTATTAAATTAGTGATCATTGCTATAGCAAGACCTTACATCAGGGGTGACAAACCTTAAACCCTTAAATGCATGACTATTTTGAAAAATATTTTTTTTCTTTATTTTTTCCTTAATCTATGTCCAATTTACAACCCGTTTCAATTTATGGTATTTTAAACGAAAAAATCGTGCATTTAAGAGCTAAGTACCAACGTCTCATATTTCTAATGGGATATATAATACGATTATAGATATACTTTGTACATTTATGGTCAGTAAGGTGTCCAAGATATTTTTGTATTATTGGTGGCCCCTACGTGGCAGTACTGACCTCCTCGTCCCTGAGCAGGCGGTGGTGCGTGGAGGCGGGGAAGGTGAAGGGCAGCCGCGGCCAGAGGTCGTCGAGCGGCGTGGCGAGGCGGTCGAGCAGCACGCGGCCGCCGCGGCCCACGCGCCGCCGCGCGAACCCCACGCACCGCGTGTACGGCTGCGTTATCGACGTCAGTGTGAACCTGCACGATACAACACTCTTAGAGTACTGCAATATTAGCGTTTATTACTTGATTTTTAACTTCGTTTAAATACTAAGTTGCCGTCTAATAATGTACAATATTTAATTCGCGATACAAGCGGCGCCTCATGTGAAGAACCTGGAGCAATTCTCAGTACAGTAAACTGAAGTTTGTTTTTATTGCCTTCTTTTTATTTTATTTTTTTTAAATAGAATGTATATAATATATTTTTAATGTAATAACTGATACATTTTACTTTATAATTATAGAATAGTATTTTATAATTTAAATTGTTTAACTTTACCTATGCCTCTCATCCAGTTCGTGTTCGAAGAGACCATCTTTTGATGTGCAGTCAGGATCCACAGGGTCGCCGTAAAGAGTTGAAGTCGGCTGAAAATACAAGAAACATTCTAACAAACTGACAACCCTAGTAATTAATAATTTATAATAACATAAAAAATATTTCATAGCTTATCCGCTAATTGAAGAAGTTTTAACTAATGAAAAGTAGTTTAAACTAGAATGAAAGAAGAGCCATTCATATTTCGTTTCCTCAATTCTACAAAAAAATTACAAAATACGAGGTTACTAAGTGTAAGAGCGAGCCCCTGCCATAATTTAATAGCAACGGCTATAATTAAAATCGCTATAAGTAACATGTATTTTAAAATCAATCATTCTACATTTGTAACTGGAGCAGTAAATGACAAAAACAAAGTTATTTCGAGTAATTATTGATGTTATAGTTTTAGGATGTATATGAGAATATAACCATTTCATAGTAGCAGCCGGGCTTGCGGCGGAATGCGAAGGGTCCATCGTCGAAGGTATCAGCTCGCGGGCTGGCCGCGCTCGCGGGCACCCCCTCCTCCTCCGAAGACGTACACACGCCACACTCTGAAACACACAATACGTCTCTAAAACAGATATATATGTCAATACGACTCGAAGGACCAACAAAGTACAACCAAACAAAAAAAAAAACAATTCTTTGACTTAATTACAATTTCCTCTTGTAATTTGTTATAGAACTATTTTCCGTTCAGAAACACACAAATAATAATTACACCTTCTGAAGTTGATACGACTTCTCGTTATAATGAAAACGTACTTTGGAACTTATTAATAATGTGGTAATTTAATGGGGTATTACAAACTTTGACGCATAATGAGAAAAGTTAGCAAAACTTGAAGTGTGGAAATACTATTTAACTCAAGTTGCGAATCGAAATAATTTACATTTTTATCTGTTTTAAAGTTTTAGCATGAGAGTAAAATAATACTTAAATGAAATAAATTTTACGCTTCTAAGAGATGGAATGCGGAGATAAGGACCGGTGAGCGCACTAAATAAGGATATAAAGTTATGGAATAGAAGATATACTACTATGTATATATAAAACGCGTTTTAAACTGTCTGTCTGTGTGTGCACTCACCTCGCAGCCCCTGCGCGGAGCCGGCGGCGTGGTGCCTGTGTTTCCGTCTCTTGTATGGACGCTTCTCTCGCTGTAAGGCAACCAATTACGGGAATAATACCACACACTTTGACAACCATTCGGGTAAAACTACAGCCTTCCATTCATTGAAAGGCTTAAGAAAAACTGTGGAATTGAGGATTTAGTAGGCGTCTATCCAAGAATCTTATAAAGTTCAAAGAGAAAAATACCAACACAAAGTTATAATAAAATACGGCAAACTTCTTGAAAGTTGCGGAAGCCTTCTACGGATTGAAGTTGGACCAAACTTTACACTAACAACTTTACGTCTTTTGAATTATTTTTATCGACTTTTAATTAGATTCTCACCGTTTTTATGAGATTAAATACTTGTTCAGCTTATTGATCGCTTTTTCTAAGTAATGTTTTTGTGGTATTGTTAATATTAATTGCGATGTTCCTCACCTGCCTGGGCTGGTCTACTGGTGTGGGCGGGGCGCGCGGCGGGTAGTGCTGCACCGCGTACGCCTCTCGACGGAAACTTAAAGTCGATATCGGCACCGTGTTGTATTGCCTATGCAAAATAGATACAATTTACTTTTACATTATATGCACTTGTATCTAAATATCTGATATTTTTTGACTTTAATGTTTCCTTTTAAATATATATTTAGTGGAAAATACACTGGAATTAAAGAGAAATGTAAAATTTATTGCCATTACGATATTTCCCTTATCAGTTATTTTGTAAAAATTGTAGATGTGCTTTATCAAAATTCGGGATTTTCAAGTTTTATGTAAGAATGTGCAGTTAAAATTCTTTGAGTTTGGATTGGACCTCGAGATATACCTAGTCCAAGAGACATTTCGAGTTATTTATTTTAAAAATATACACACATATAGATGAAATATTTTGAAATATAACAATCTCTGTGTTGAAAATGTTTAAGAGTATTATTAGAGCGAGAGTAAACTTGTGTAATATACTTAAAGTTGTGAAACAGTAAGAGCACTTGAGTGCAAATAAAACAGCTTCTACGGAACTGCCTGTTCCCGGATTCAACTAAGATTCGTAGCGAAGTTATAAAATACCGCAACGGCGTGTGTTCCAACTTTATAAAGACTTCTAGTTATTTTGTTTTCAACAAACTTATTCTAACTTAAGTAAAGCATAATTTGTTCTCAATCATTTTTTTATTATTTTTCAATTTATCCCTCGGGTACAAGGTAAGCCAAACTACGGCGGAAAATAATGTCCCTAACTTGAAGAAATATACTAGCTGGGATTCATTGAGACCCATAAAATGTTGAAAATAGTCCACGTGAACAATCATAGATAATTGTGACGCAAATGATATGTAATAAAGATACATATCTTTTTTTACATTTAGTATTTTAAATGTAAAACGATAGGTATGAGATAGTCTAAGGAACAGAGTTACATCTCTTGCGAGATATAACAGTTTTCATAGTTATTTAGATGTTCTGCTCACCTGGCGGGCTCCGGCAGCTGCGCGGTGAAGTCCCCAGCAGCATACCGTCTCTCCGCCAGCAGCGCTGTGAGGCGCACCAGCTCGCGCTTGGCGCGCTCCCGCCGCGACACCATCTCCAACAGTGTGAGGGCACGCGCCAGCTCGCGACGGAGCTTCAACATCTTCTCGTACGAACTCTCGTCGTTTTTCCTGCAACAAATACGTGTTTAACACATTTATTCATAACTAGCTTTCGTCCACGACTCTGTTCGCGACGAATTTAAAAAAAAAACTGAGAAACCTATTTGTTCTTCCAGACTATCCTCTACGTCTATGCCAAATTTCATCGAAATTCGCTCAGCCGTGTAGGCTACAAACTCTAACAAACATCCATAAATGTAAACTTTCGCATTTATAATATTACTATGATGTATGAATTATGATTCGAAATTTATGTTTTTTAAGTTTTTACCATAAACGACATTAGTTTCGAGAGAAGAATACGACTAATTTAATTTGCATCACAATAGAATCAAGAGATTGGATGTCTTTCTCTCTCATCTCTAACCTCCTGTGTCAGCACGCCAAACTTGAGGCGCAATTTCCCAAAAAACATACATTTTGAGTTAATTCTTTTTATGAATAAAGGTGAGACATCCGTAAATAATATTAACCTATCTTACCAATGTTGTCTCAGTTTTTTTCATACGATAATTGCAGTCGAAACTAACTATTTTATTACAATATCCAATATTAAATTTTTGTTAATCGCTTTTATCCCAATACATAATGTTGTTTTGTTGTTCTTCGTTTCTCGAAACTTTCAAAGAGTACCAAACTATTGTATACTGGGATTGGTTTTCGTGTAAACAATAGTTTGTACTTGTTTGTTGTTTACTGACGGAACAACGTGAAAGATGTTCAGTGAATGTTACAAGGGATATTTGAAAAGGTCTTCACCCTATCTGGTATCCATAATTCATATTTTATTTAAAAGACTTCATTATTAAAATAACCTGTGGATCTAACGTAATATAACACCACAGACTATGTATGCTAACCTATTTTTTCTGGTCTGCATTTTCTCTGTTCTTCTTCTGAATGCTAGATAAGGATTGTTCGACGATTGCCCGGGCCGATGCTCCGTCTTCACCGACAGGATGAGAGGATGTTGCTGCAAAACATTAATTATTATTTACAACTAGAATAAAACAGTAAATACACTTTATAATAACTAAACGTTTACGTCGTCATTCATCAACTTTTAGCCTAGAGATGGTTCCCTGATTAAATTTCGAAGGTCGTCGTTGACAGTTGAAAATTCTGTTCTCCTCAAGACTGCGTAACACACAGTACAGAAATTTACAAGATCCGAAAATATTTAGATTGAAGACAGCAAAATTGGAAAACTTTTTTGACAAGGGTATATCAGTGATAGATTTTGACAGGCGCTTTTTACATAATACGTCGATCAGAATTCTGTCAAGGATATTATGCTACTTGTTACGTAACTAAAATATTTATTTTAATAACAAGAATATGACACAAAAATTTTCTTATTCAATACTGTGTCTGATTAAAGGGATTTTACTTAATTCATCGTCTGCTAATAGATACCATTTGTAAAGGCTAGGTTATCAAACTACCTTATGACAAACGATATTTTTTACAACCTTTCTATCGCCATTAGATGGACTAACATGCCGCGGTTAGTTTCGCAAATGGAGACTGTTAACTTACCCGCTTACATAACTAGTCCCTCCTTACCCTATGTAATTTACCGTCTTGTAAACTAGACGTTATCGCTTAGCGACAGTCTAACATCTCTAAAGAGTTATTTCAAGCTATCGTTGTAGACAATCGT